TTTTGGGCGGATTGCCGGCAATTCGGCTCCCAGATCTTCGTTGCGTCAGGGGCTAATGCCTTGTCCAAACACAGCGCCCAAAACGCTGTTCAAATATTTACAATTACTTTACATAAACGCTAAAAAGCGCAACAGCTTGGCCCGGATGGGAGCCGTAGCCGGGGCAGGGGCAGGGGCAGGGGGGAAACAGTCTCCCTTGTTTGAGCACTCATCTGTCATATTTAAGGCACAAATCCGACTGCGACTGCGACTGCGACTGCGAGTGTGACGGCGACTGTGACTCCGACTGCGAGCGGGCCCATGTTTTTTGTTTTTTGTTTTTTTTTTCTCTATTTTCTTTATCGGAGGCGATATGACAAACATGACAGCACGTAAGGCTGTCCCCCAGCTCGCCCCACCTACCCATTGCAGCCGCCTGGGCCCCGTAGACACGTGAAATGATAATGGACAAATAAAAATCTAGCAGGAGTTCGGGGCAGGGGGCAGGTGGTCAGGTGGGGAGGGTGGGCAGGGTAGCTGCGTTGTGGCATAAACAAGTCAAGTCAAATAAATGCCAGATCTCGCCACATGGCATGCCAGTGCTAGCCAGCCCCTGTCCCCCAGTCCCTGCCCGCTGCCGTCCCTTTAACAAACTTCCCCAATATTCCTGCAGCTTATTTCTCGCTCCCTTTCATAACGCGTATTGCTGTCTCTGTCCCCTGTTTACCCAGTGGGCGTTACGACCAAGTGCCGACAAAGTGCTCGTCAACGGACAATTACAAGCAAATTAATTCAACGTGTGCTGCAACAAACCGAACAACAATCCGCCCCCCCCCCCGTCTCCCCTCCCTCCCCACTATGGTACCCTTAGCCTTAGTTTGGGCGCGAACCTCTCATAGATAAACATCAATCGAAACGCTGGAAATTTAATTGAAGAAGTTGGACACTTGTTGAAGTGGTCTATGAGAAAGGGCTGGCTGGTAAATGTAGTGGGCGGGGGGAGAACGAGGGAGACGCGACAAAGAGAGAGAGAGAGAGACAGAGAGAGAGAGAGAGAGGGAGAGAGTGAGAAACTTAACTTAATTTTCAGCCACAACAATGAAGTCTATGGTTTATATTATTCCATATTAGATAATATAGACCAAGTGATATAATACCATAGAATATCGGGCAATATGTAGTATAGCAGAATATATACCATAGATTAATAGTTAATCTTAATCCAAGCACGTTTTTGCTGTTATACAATAAATGTAAATTAGCATTCAATGTATTCCCCTAGGTGTACCAAGAAATATTCCTGAAATAAACTATTTAGATATCCAAATATATTATAATATCAGTACATCAATTTTTAGAAGCAGCTATAATGCTTTGAAATTGAAATTTATTATAGCAATTAAATTGAATACCTTATATGCATTTAATCCATACATATATACCATATTCGAGCCCTTTCAGATTCGAGTACTCATATTTATTGCGAGTAAGCATTTTAGAGTCAATTCAAATGGGTAGCATATTACCTATCAGTACTCATTCTACTCATTTTACTCATTCAACGTGCCTCGCTATGCTCTGTACTAGAATATTTTGAAGGAATAGAATTGGAATATTTTGGTTTTGGGATAAGTTAGTTTGTAAAATGCATTTGCATCTGGCCTCAAAGCTTTTGATGATTTTTCTTGTTGTTGTTGTTATTATTATTGTTGTTGTTGTTGTTGTTGTTGTTGTTGTTGTTGTTGTTGTGGCTGTGGTGGTGGTGGTGGTGGTGGGTTTTTAGTTGGGCTTTTCTTTTGATTTCGATGTCTTTTGTGTTATTTCTATCCGTTTGCATTTGAAAACTCTTTGATCTGCTTTATGTGCTTCCGATTTAATTTCATTTTATTTCGCTTGCTGCTTTCGTTTTTATTGCCCACTTGAAACATGTTCGACTTTTGTTTGAGATTCGTCTAAACACACACGCACGCACACATACGCATGCATAGACACGCACACACACACACACAGACCATATAAAAGGCAGCCGGCCCTGTGGCTGCAAAATTTTACATTTTGTTGATCATAGCAGGCAAAGAGAGAACGACAGAGAGAGAGAGAGAGCGAGAGCGTGTGTGTGAGAGAGCGGGAGAGAAGGGCAGGGCGAGAGGTAGACAGAAATCCATTTAGGGCACAAGATGAACATTTACAGCAGCGCCAGGCGCAGGCTGCGATAAGAAAGGCAAAGTAGGCGGCAACGGGTACCGAACGCCTCCAAAAAGAGAGACAAGCAATTGCAATTAGCGACTAGCAATTACCCTGCAAATGCATGAAATATTTTGGAATAAATATTTATATGCTTTACAGTGCTTTAATCTATCTATTTTGTTGAGAACATAAATAATTTCTTATAAATATATTATATAGATATCTATTGCCAGACTTTAAACGGACATTGATTAATCACAAATATATTTCAATAGTTGTGAATGTTATCTACATATATTAAATACTTTGATCTACTTTTACCAAACTTAACGCTTTTAACCAAGTATAGATGCCCTCTATAGTCAGTTCTATCAATTACATTTTGTACTTTTGCAGGGTATGGCGCAGTCGGCATAGGCAACTGGCGCGCAGATAAAGTCAAATGCAAAGAGCATCGGTGCGAGGCATAGGGCACCGTTTTTATGGGTTTTGGCGTCGCAGCAGCTGCAATCAGCCCCGGCCCCGTCCCTGGCCCAGGCCGCTGCACTTAACGCCGCAGCATCCATTGACCAATGCCCAAATTGAGAAGCGGCGCATGGCCAGGGCCAGGGGCGGAGGGCGGGGGGCGGGGGCAGCGGCATGAAATGCAAGATATTCTGAAAAGCGGCCGATGCCCATTCGGCGCTCGAGACCAGGCAAAAAGGTGTTAATGGACTCTGGCCAAAAGAAAGGCCCCGACGACCATGACCCCGACACCCGACTACCGTCTGGCGACCCCTGCAACGTTTGGCTACGTCTACGCGTCGCACATTTCTCACTTCATTCTTTCGCTTCTTCTTTTCTGCTCTCTCCTCTTCTTTCTTTTGCCTCGTCACAGCTCTCTAGATTTCCACTAAACGCTTTGCCCATTGCCAGCGGCATTATCCGGCTCAGACTCTTCTTCTTCTTCTGCTTTTGCTGCTTCTTCTTTAGCTTTTTAGGCACGCACTCGCCTCGACTATTTCCATGGTAAATTATGGCCAAGAGTGACGCTGACCTCAAATGCACCGAAATACAGCAAAAAAAAAAAAAACAAAATACGCTCAACTTTGGTTCCAGCTAACAATTTTTTTCTTATTTCGTCATTTTTTTTTTTGTGCTTGTTTTTTCCGCTTCTTATTTTTTTGTTTTTTATCATTTTATCTGGAACATGCAAAGGCGGCAGCGACGTCGACGTCGACGGCGACGTCGCTGATAGCGGCCAGCATTTTACATTGAAAAGCAATTAAATGTTTGCGGCTGTCGCTTCTCCAAAGTCTTTTGACTGATAACTTTGTTGTGCCTGTGCCTGTGCCTGTGCCTGTGAGTGTGTGCGTGTGTGTGTGTGTGTTTGCACTCTTGCCTAGATATGCGTAGAGTAGAGCAGTTCCCCAATGTTGGGCCGCGCCAAGCAACAGACAGGCAGCCATCCCATAGATAGTAGGGTCCAAAATTCCGGAACTCCTGAGCATTTAGCATTTGAAAGGGACCAGGCATACATATGTTGCATATATGTATAGATTGGTTTAGCAGAAGTCCTTGAGTAACTGACCAGGGTCAGCCCAGAGTGGGGCTCCAGTGGAAAATTGTAACTTCTGATAGAAGAAGTCTCGCAACTTGGCCTTTAATTGGTTAAGCCTGGGCTAGCATGAAAGGGAATAGATGCCTGTTGCCAAATATTTGGATAGTCTGAGCTTTAATGGAACTTGGCTTAGTCTGACCGACCAATAGAGCTCTAAATTCTATATTGCTTTAATACTTTTCATGATATCATAAGTTTCCTATTAGTACCCAGCGTATTGTGTTATATTTTTGCAAAAGATACAAATCAAAATATATATATTACGGGCGTGTTAATAAAGTAGACCAATTAATAACTCAATTTATCAAAATATTCAATTCTTAAATTGTTTATAGAATTATGTATATAATATAAGTTTTTAGTCGTCAAGTCCTCAAGTTGGAATATGTTGTTGTTTTTAATAATTTTTAGATAATTCCTATTTTCGATAGTTCCAAATTACGAGAGCCCAGTAGAGTAAACTAAATGTACCCAAGGACCCATGTGAGATTTATGATATATGCTTCATATTTATCACCTGATCCCAACTGCATTTAGCTTTATGCTCAAAAAGCTTTAGTTAAGTATTATTATAAGGTATTTTGCTACAGTTCCTACAATAACTAAAAACATTATTATAATAGAAATTTGCCGAGTTGCTTAGCTTAATTAGAGTTTAGTTCGATTTTAATAGAATTCTTATTGGATTTGGTGTCCGGAGACTCTGTTGTCTTTTATTTCAATTTATAGTTTGGTGTTTGTTTTGTTGTTGTTGTTGTTGTTGTTGGTTTTGTTGCCTTATCTTTTGTACATCGCGAAACGACAAAGCCAAAACGAAAAGCCACAAAAACTATATGTGTGTACATAAAATGCCAAGCAGAAGAAGAAGAACGAGCTACACAAAAAAAAAGTGGAGGCGCTTTGATGAGCTGCCGCCAGTCGGCCCGTCAACGTCAGAGCAACTGACACAACGTCAGCTTCGACTACGGCTCCAGCTCCAGCTCGCGAGCTCCAGCTCCAGTCATGTCCATATCTACAGTTACAGATCCGTCTATGTCCGCCTCTCCATCTCCATCTCAGTCTCCGTCTTCGTTTCAATCGTCGCAGTCGGTTGACTTTCGCAATGGTTTGTGACTTTTAAACAATTTTTGGTTTTCGCACGTAAGCGTCAAGAATGGTTTTTATGGCCACACAAAAGTAACGCTTATCGTCACGCGGGAATCGGGCACAAATGGTCAGGGAGGGGGGGGCTTACCTGCAATTCAGCCTCCAGCTGATTGGTGTGACCGGCCAGATTAGGCAGTGCGGTCATATTGTAGCCGAGGCCCTGGCAGGCGGACACTGCGATGCGTTGGCATTGTAATCCATTGGAGCTGCCGCCGTTGGCCGAGCTGCCCGCTGCCTGCGCCTGGCCGCTGCACTGCGTCAAGCCGGCGATCAGCGCCAGCAAAAGATTGGCTCCCAGCATTTGAGGGAATCAAGCTGAAAATCGTAGTCAATGATGGCAGTCGTTTAGGCCTTATGCCGTATGCCTTGGGCCGTGTGCTCAGGATCAGGATCAGGATCAGGATCAGGATCTGGATCTGAATTTGGATCAGATTCACAATCAGTTTGGCCTCATTCTGCGGCCCACAAAGTTCACATGCGAATCTCTCACTCGCGATTGCTGCTGTTGTCAATAACAGCAGAGCACGTGAAAAAAAAGTAAATCAAGAATTTAACACACGATATTATAATTTAATAAATATCTTCTTTGAATTTTTAGCCGATTGTCAATGCACAAAACACGCTCAAATTGTCGATTTCAAGTGCGACTGCAACGCGTCCACACTCCTCGATGTGTTTGCGTGGACTGAACGAGCCGCAAAACGAACTGTTACTGTTGGGCAGCAGAGCGAGCGGCTGAGAGCGCCAAACACGGGCGCATAACAGACTGAGAACAGCTGCGACTGAACTGAGCGCGCACAACTAAAACAACATGCATGTACAGACAGACAGAGAGAGAGAGAGAGAGAGAGTGAGAGCGTGAATTCACGAGCAGAGCTGCCTGCAGTAAGCGCGCTGTACAATTTGAATTTGTTTCGTTTCAGGTGTATTAAATATTTGCACTGTAACAAACACACATGTGCATGTAAGTGTGTAATTAACAACAATAATGAACACAAAATGTTAATGTTAATGCATAGCCATAATATTTTGTTCACATTTCTTTAAATGTATTGAGAATGAGTAGGATTTAAACAATATACGCAAACTTGGAGGTGCTGAAAACTAGATACCTAATTAAATTAAAGACAAATGTTTAGTTAATTGATTAATTTTGTAAGTGGAAAATAGTAGTAAGTATACTTTTTAATATTAATTTTATATATTCATTTAATATATTAAATATATATATATATATAAATATACAAATTAATAAATACTACTATTTTCAAAGTTACAAAAAAGTGCGTTTAGATAGACAGATAATAATATATACCACTCTGTAATAAATATTTGAATTTCATATTTTGTTATATATGTAATGTATATATAATAATAAATGATGTTATTTATGTAGTAATTATAGCATATAAATACTTTAAAATTTTAATGATTGCCAATAAATTAAATGTTCTTCAAGATATTTAATATATGTACAACTTATTATATTATATGATTATAGACACAGAAAAAATTGTCATTTCAGATACGTCAAATACACATCAAATATTTAATTTATGTATAATTTCTATAATTTTTTAACTAATCTCACTGGATGGCAATTTAACTAATAATGCCATTAGCATTCAGATTTTCCAATGTTGATGATCGGTTATCTGTTCAATTAGTGTTGGACAATGAAATATAATTTAAAAACAAATTCACCGTTAGCCATTGAGCAACAATTTCTTGCTGCACTTACAAATGAAGATCACTGATTAGTGATCAGTGATCAGTGATCAATGATCAGTGATCGACAGATCGCTTTTTTTGGAAAGCTAACCCACCTGCTAGCGGCAACAGTGGCAGGTGAGCAACAGCGCTGCGTGGCACTCAAAGCGCCTTTGATTCGATCTTCGAGCCATGCCACATGGATCTTTTATCCGAGTGTGTGTGTGTGAGCCTGATTGGCTCCTTGCTCTTGGGGGGAATGGGAAATTTGATCGCACACACGACGAGCAGCGACCACAACAACAACAACAACAACAAAGACAACGACGACGACGACGACGACAAGGAGAACAGGAACGACATCAAACAAAACTGAAAGGTGGCCCCTGCAGCAAAAGGTGGTGGTGGTGCAGGGCGGTCTGCCATGCCGCTGGTCGCGTGGGAGCGTCATGGCCAAGGGGTGTTGGGGGGGGCACTTACAATTGAGCACCGCGACCTCCGCTTGCAGCAGCAGCAGCAGCAGCAACAGCCACGACGACGACGTCGGCGGCGTCGGCAATCTTTGATGTGCGCTTTGATTTCCGGCAGCGAGATAAGATTTTTTTTCTTACCCGTTGCCCCTCTTCGCTCCGCCTCGTGCACCGTATTGTTGCTGCCCCTCCCCCCCCCCCCCTTCCCTACCTCCTTGTTTTTATGGTGTAGGGGCGGGGCGTGGCGTGGCGGGTTTTCGGTGAGCAAAGCAGAAAATCGCAAATCAAAACGAATTGCAGCAAATTTTGCGCCCGGGACGGCGCATCAAACGCAGTTGGGCGAAGCGTTGCGAGATTTTTATCGCTGCAACTGCAAAAGGAGGCGTTGCACATGGCTGGCAACGATTGGTGGCAGCAACGGTTCTGCGGGGGGGTTGGGGCACGGCCAATGCCAATGCCAATGCCAATGTCGAGTAGCCTGCCCGTCTGGCCGGGCATAGAGCTGCATAGATTGCACAAAAAAATGCAAAGCTGCCATCGCTGATCAATGGCAACGTGCAACACCTGTTGTGGCAAGCACCGCGCTGGTTGCTGCCACGCTCAATTGGCAGCAAATCGGCGCGCACTTCCGCAGCGCTTACAAGTGCCCAACTGAGCCGAGCTGAACTGAGCTGAGCTGAGCTGCAGCCCGAAACCACTTTCAGCAAGATCTTTCAATTGTCATCAAGGCTAATGCCCATGTAAGCCCCCCTCCCCCCTAACAGAAGAGGCAGCAATAATACGGCTACTCAGCTACTCTTGTCTCCGGGTCTCCGTTGGCTCGTCCATTGTTTGTTTGTTGATGCTCAAAAATCTGCCGGCTGTTTGAACATCGGGCATCAAAGGGGATCAATCTGGCCGGGGTCGTGCCGGCAAGCGCTACCCTATAATAGCTAATGTAAGCACTTACACTTGCCCTCCGCGGCTTCATCTTTTGTTTACAACTCATTCGCCATCTCTGTCTAGCTCTATCTCCATCTCCTTCTGCTTCTCCTCTGTTGCCTGTGCTTGTACTCTTTTCATTAAGTGCCTGTGCTGCACCCTATATAAATGCTGCCAGGCATTTCAGTTCGGGCGATCGCTTTGCATTGTCTTCGGCTGCGTATCTATGCATCCAGAGCCTGGGGCTCGACACCGGTTTCTCTCGTAATGTCTCGAAATGTGTGTTTCACATTTAAAGGGGTATTACATGCAGTTACAACTATAAAAGTACCCTAGAATTCTGCAACTGGTTTTTAGAAGGTCTTTACGTTAAATTCGGCTACCTATAATCATTTTCAGATTCACATCAATTCAGCATATAGGGTATCTCCAATTCGAGCATATTTAGTTATTATGTTTACATGTCGCACTTATTTTTGAAATTTCTGTATGACTCAAATCTTGAAGCTCCGGATCAAATGCTATGCAAATTCATCTGCTTGATCATTTTTTGAAAATCAATTTAATCATTTACAAAGTCTTGTTAATGAAACTTTGAACCAGTTTTGCACCCGTTCTGGCTCAAACCCGGAATTCCAATACATATTTTACCACAAATGCAATCAAAACGGAAAATAACTTAACTTTTGAGCGAGATCCAGCCCAAAGTATGAATATATTTGGACCCAACAATTGGATATAACTAACCATATTCGTTAGCTGCCAATTTTGGATAGAGATCAAATCTAGCCCGTAAATTCTATACGAAAATATCTACGTCTAACAATATTTTCAGTAGAAAGGGCAATTATTAATTGAGAATGTAAATGTTTGATGCATTTTTGAGCATACATAATGAATATATGTATGTGAATATGAATATGAATATGGAAAAAAAATATATATAAAAAATTAAAAAAAAAATATATAAAAATATATAAATAAATAAATAAAATATATAAATGATATATAAATAATACAAATAAATATTTAATATAATAATAAAAAAAATAGTAATAAAATAATAAATCCAAAATAAAAGCAAGTGACCTGAATTTAGCTTATTATGCTTCGAATTTGTGAGCAAATGAAATAAATATTCAAAAAAAGTATTTATATATAAGTATAACATTGATCAATTGCCGTAGATCAATGCGAACTTGGACAATTTCAAGTTTGCATATCGCAAGCAATATAAATGAGTCTGTAATTGTTGTATTTGTATAGAGCAGACGCATATATGTCGTGACTTGATCACGATCTACTTGTGATCAGTGATCAGTGATCAGCGATCAGCGATCAGCGATCAGTGATCAGAACTGTGACAAAGACGCGTTGCCAACTATTAAATCACGGCTTGGATCTTCAAAGAGTTCCGCACTGTCACCAGATGCCAAACCACAAACAACAAACAACAAGCGACTGCATTTGCAGGCTGCTTCTGTCCCCGCCCCTGCGGCTGCCTTCGACTGTGACCCCTCTGCCCCTCTTCCCCTCTCCAAGCCATATCCAGGTACATTTCAATCTCAAGTGGGCACTGCTACAATGTTTGCTCGGCTGCTGTCAACAGCGACGTCTCTTTGCATCTTGGCAGCGTCCACGTCTCGTCTTTGCCCTCGTCTTCATCTTCATCTTCATCTTCATCAACGTCTTGTGGGTCTTGTGTGTGTAAGTCTTTAATACCCGTTCACATGGTGAAAAGAGTTGATTGGGTTTGGCTTTTCATACCGTCACCCTTTTGTTTATGGCTAAAAAGTGTATAATGTATTTGTGCAAATGTATGTTACGGGCAGAAGTAACCAGCTCCGATCCCATAAAGTATATATAATCTTGGTCAGTCGAGTCGATCCAACCATGTCCGTCCGTCTGTCAGTATGTATGAAGACGTCGATCTCAGAGTCTATAAGAGACTTGTCCTGCAAGTTGCTGCGCAATACGAATTCCTTTTCGATAATCGATAAATTGACCCGATTCCAAGCAATCGATACAAATCAATATCGAAAACCTGTTTACTTACTTGTAGTAAGTAACTTTCATTCTATAACTTACCTCCCCTTCTCAATAGAGAGAGAGAGAGAGAGAGAGAGAGAGCTACATTTGGTGTTGGTAGAAGAAGGTTCAGGGTATCCGCTAGTCGGATTTGTGGATTTGGAATATAAACTCTCGTTCCAAATCGAATTCTTCCACAGCTTAACAGCTAGGGATTCCACACTTTGCTAAACTCCTCTAAAGATCGACCCGCTCATATATCCACATCCTCTACAGCTTTGCAGCTAGATTGAGGCCAATGGGAATGCAAATCCCTGATGAGCTCCTCCGTGGATCGTCCCCTTCTTGAGCCGTGAACGCGTATTGGGCAGTTGGGTTATAGCCGTTCGCAACATGCTTTGCTTGTGGCAGGTCTTTGGCATTTTCTCAAGTTTAGCTCTTGATTTGTTTGCTTGGCCATATTTGCGCTTTTCCAATTGCCATTCGGCATGGATTTCCACCAGCATTTTCCACACCGTTTCACCAGTCGCAGTCGCCAGTTCCATAAAGCGTCTGATCATGTT